GGACAGCGGTTGCGCGGAACAGGGGTCAGGAAGTAGCAGTACCATATGGGCCAGTGAGGCATTGACTCATCCTGCTTCGCCTCTAACCCAACAGCGATAGCCTTAGAGGGCAAAGCTTATACGAAATAGAACAGGGGTTACGTACTGTAACCCGGAGTATAGGCGCAGCCCTCTAAGTTGAAGGCCTCACTGGACCTTGGTTCTCAATTCTCAGTGCTGCGCAGGCGCGCGGAAGGGGTAAACCCAATAGCGATAGCCTTAGAGGGCTGCGCCTATACTCATAGAATCCGGGTTAAATCCGGGTTACAGTACGTAACCCCTGTTCACACTTGACCAATGTTTTGTAACAAATGATCAAGTTATACTGCAAAAGAAGAACTGCTGACTTTGACAAATCCAGAGAGACTCACATCCAGGTGCAAACAGCAGCAGCAGAGCTACAGAAAACATGGTTTATGTTGAAAGTGACGTGCTGTGGACTCCACTGACAGCCTGATGGGAAGTTTTTATAGCTGAGTTTGCATAGAACCAAACACATGAAAATGTCCCTGCATTTATAGAAACAATTGTTAACTTTTTTTTTACTTAAAGAGGTGGTATTATGCCCATTTTCAGGTTCAAAATCTTATTTAGGGGTTGTACCAGAACAAGTTTACATGGTTTAATTTTCAAAAAACACCATATTTTTCTCATACTGCACATTGCTGAAGCTCCTCTTTTCACCCTATATGTTGTACACTCCGCTCTTGAGCTACAGAGTGACTTAACCTCTGTACAAAATCTTTGTTGGGAGTTGCACATGCGCAGTTCCCGGTAAGGACTATTAGCCAATCAGAAGCAGAGAAGGGCGGGTCGTAAGAAACAAGGTAGTGTGATCCAAATCCAAGCCGCTTCAGACTGCGACCATAACCTAGCAGATGGTCCACAGTCCACAACCACACATCATTGTTCCACATCTTACCATAAACCACTACAAAAATGACCAAACAATTTGAATGTTTGCTCAGTAGCTTTCACATCAGGTGTAACTTTAGTATTATAGTTAGAACTTTAGCTGTGTTAGCCAACATTTACAACAACTCCGCACTTAAACAGTCTGTGAAGTTACATTGCTGTGTATATTTTAAATTTAATCCACAACCAATAAAGCATACTTACAGGTTGTGATTGTGAATTTCCAGGCCCAAACAGAGTCGGAGTTGCATCGTCTTTTAGGACTAAACGTTGAACTGTTGCCGGTGTTCTGATGATCTATGCTGCCTTGCCGAAAAATGCTACCATAGCGCAAATCGATAGACTCGACTCTACTCGGCCCTGCTCCGTTTTCGATTGCAGATAGTACCCAGAGATAGTACGTAGCGACGGCACACACAACTGCCACGACGTAATGTTCAATGCGACACACACACCAGCGATCCACACAGCTTTCTCTTTGTTAAGTTAAAAGGTTTCAACATTCCTCATAATGTAAAGACAGATAAGCGGTATGAAAACCTTCCAGCTGTGTTTTCCTCTGCCGTTGTTGCTGCAGCGGTCTGTGTGACGGCGGGAGCAGAGGGCTCTGTGAGCCTGCGGCTGGCCGGCCTCACACACTCCTCCCACGGGTTGGTACAGGCATCCCCGGCAGCCACTTGCGGAGTTCCTCACATTCAAGCACATTTTTGTTCTGCCATCACTTTTCGTAAAACTGTCAATATTCGAAATCTACACAGCTGATTTCTCACCTCAAAACTTCTCAGAAGTGGATTTAATGATGAAATTACATACAAAAACTGTAATGGTTTGAGGCGTGCCTGACCCCGCTAGCCGCTTGGCAAGCTTTATGCCGCGTTTTCATTGTGATGTCACAAGTAAAGGAAGTGAAGGGCTGGACTACAAACAAGCTGTTTTCAAGCGGTTCAAAGCAGTGCTTTCTGTGGGAGATGGGAACTCCCTTTGGGCTGGACTTTGGGCTTTTTCACTTTGCAAACCTGTTACATGCACAAAAAAGATATATAACTCAATAAGGGAGAGGGGAAAAGCCAAAAAGCATAATACCACCTCTTTACCCATTTTATGCTTAAATACAGAATGCTGCTTTGACAACAACACAGTAATATAACATTATGTAAAATGTTGTACCATTGCAAACAGCAATAAGGATTATTGTTACTATTTGTAATGATAATGCTAGCATGAATCATGGATAATGGAAAACATGTTCATTAAACTCTATATTTAACAAAGATGATGTGCACCCATGGAAACAAAAGGAGCAACCAGCAAGAATGTTGCTTTCTATAAGCCATGTATACAGTGTGTTTAGCATATTGTTTGAAAAGATTTAAACCCACTCTAAATATATATTTGCTGCAAACCGTAATAAAGTGACAGCAGCCAGGATCATGTAAATTGTGTAAAAAGTGTGATGCTGCTGGTTTGCAGGTTTGTATGAAAGACCTTTAACGGTGTCAGTATTTGCAGATGTTTGAAGACACTGACAACTTAAGACAGAGTAATAACTTGAAGCCTCGAGGGAAACAGCAGGAACTCAAACCTGTTTGACAAAATGCAAAAAGCTAAATCCTTTAGTTGAGACAAAAACTATGGTAGTTGGATGGGTTGTGTAAAAAAATAAGAACCAGTCTTAACATTATTCAGTGTGGTTTATGTATATATATACTCAAATGTCTGCGCATCATTTTTAATGATTTGACCTGAGGACATCATGAAGAGTTTTTACTCAGCAATCCCAGATTTTTTTTTCTTACTGCAGGATTGTTGTTCATCCATCTACTTCCTGTCTGCTGAGATGAACTGACAGACAGATGGAGCTGCAGTCACTGCTGATGGTAAACTCTTTATAGTTAAGCTGTACTATTCAAAATTTGCTAAATCAAGTTAACATGCTGTTTCTTTAGAGTAGAAAAGTCTACATCAGCAGTAGTGTTAAGTTTTAATTCAGTCCAGGGTTCAACTGTCAGTCAGTTAAGATCAATGAGAACACCAGATCTGAGTGTTAGAGGAGAGAGAAACATGACACTGACTGCCCTCTAGTGTTTACAAAAGAAAATGCAATATTATTGTTCACTCTCATATCAAGACTCATATATAATTTACAGACATTATTTTGTCTTAGTTTGTAGTAGTACTTTAACTTCAGTGACCATATTATTGTATGTCACTGTCTTTGGTCTTTTAAAAGTTATCTTTATTGTGTTTATTGAATTTCCCTGGACAGTTTTCAGGACTTGTATAATTTATTATTCAAGAATATATGCAATATAAGTTTTATACATGTTATACAAGTTTTTCACCCATCATGGACTTCATCAAGAAAGCACAGCTATCTCAGCACAACAAGAGCAAAGAAAGACAGACCCGGAAATTCCAAAACCTACAGTCCAGAGCGAGCTGCACTAACAGAACAGGAGAATTGTCTTGGAGGAGAAAGGACAACAACCCCACAACACTTGAAACAGACAACAGATTGGTGAAAAACTTGTCAGATAGGGAACTCAAACAACCAGAGAAAGACGTTCTGGCCAAAGGATTAAACGTCGCCATTACACCACAGCAACTACCGATAGTAGACCTCATCACAGCCACAGAATCGGCCATTAGGAAAAACAAATGAACAGAAACAGAAGCGGAACAGCTCAGACTAAAGGTATCTGCAGCCCTTTCTAATGTGAAGGCCCCCCCTTCCAACCTCACCATCCAAGAAAGGAAGGCTGTGACATCTCTGAGCAAGGATCAAAACATCACTATCCTACCTGCTGACAAAGGAAGATGCACGGTAGTACTTAACACAGCTGACTACCAGAACAAAGTCAACACACTACTAATGGACACAAACACGTATGAGACACTGAGACGAGACCCAACCAGCGGATACAAGAAAAAGGCCATAGAATGTCTACAACAGTTACAGAAGGACAACACCATCACCCGTGAACAATATTACCGTTTGTATCCTGGGGAAGCCATTCCATGCATTTATGGACTACCCAAGATACACAAAGAAGGAGCCCCACTCAGGCCGATTATCAGCAGCATTAACTCGGTCACCTACAACATTGCCAAACACATTTCTACCATCTTAGCTCCATTGGTGGGAAACACGCCTCACCACGTCCAAAACTCTATTGACTTTGTAAACAAAGTTCGAGGACTAAAACTGGATCCAGATGAAACCATGGTATCCTATGACGTGACTTCTTTGTTCACCTGCATCCCCACCATAGAGGCAGTAGAAACCGTTAGGAAACGGCTAACACAAGACAACACCCTGGACAACAGAACTAGCCTCAGCCCTGACCAAATCCGCAAATTACGCGACCTCTGTCTAAACACCACTTACTTCCAGTACAACGGTGGATTCTACAGACAGAAGCATGGCTGTGCCATGGGCTCACCGGTATCCCCGATTGTGGCAAACATCTACATGGAAGAAGTGGAGAATAAAGCCCTCAACTCCTTCAGAGGAATAGCACCGAGCCACTGGTACAGATATGTGGACGACACCTGGGTCAAAATTAAAAGCCAGGAAGTGCAAGCTTTCACAGAACACATCAACTCTGTGGACAGTAACATCAAGTTCACACGAGAAGATGTTCACAACAACAGTTTGGCCTTCCTGGACTGCGCTGTACACATTGAAGAGGGGAGGGGGTCTACGCCACCACTTATCCCCCACTTACAATGCTGTCCTTTCATCACTTCCCAGGAAACTCAACAAACGTAACCTATTGGCCTCAGGTGAAGATACCAACGATGGTCGTTCAGTCTTGGCCACAGGTAGTCTTAACGACTGTAACGACTGTCGTCACAGCAACAAGGAACACTAACGAACCAGCGGTATCGATGACCCGGGATAACGATCCCACTGAAGTTAAATAGCTGAGTTTCCCTGCCAGTCAGTCAGAACTGAAGAAGTCCTTTGGATGAGGGACGAAACGTCTTCCAGTATCTTCAACCAAGTCCAGTTGCCCTTGATTTTAACCTTCGTTGGATAATACTAAACAGCAGAATCTTCAGTCTTCAGATTGTTCATCTGCAGATACAGCTGCTGCCTGCTGTTGTCTCTGGAGATGGTAAACCGGCCTTGAACTGACTGACAGTAGGATTTCCCGTCATTATCATTTTCAACCCAGGCAACCCACTCCAGTCCGACCCAGTTCATATCATAGTTGCTGAATGTGAATCCAAAGGTTGTACAGGTCAGTCTGTGGGATTGTCCAGGCCTTTTAACCACTGGTTCAGATTCTGTCAGAGTGTGACCATCAACACCTGTTAAAACAACATGTCAAATCGAGATCAGATAATATTTTCACCTGCCCAGCAGACAGTTAAAAGCAGCAGTCCTGTCTTATAGTCCATCATGTTAAACTGTGTGTCCACTGTTCTGTCATCCTCTCTGCAGTCAGATAAGTAGAGGTGGAAGACATCTGAGTTTTGCATTGACTCCTCCTCACAGGGAAGAGAGAGCTGGGGAGGACTTGGATCTGTAGTGTTTGGTGAGTGTACAGTATGTTAATTTGCTTAAAATATTGTGTATTTATACACAATTTAGATTAATTAATTTAAGTCAGTCAGATTTATTTATATAGCACATTTAAATTGACCCAAAGTGCTTTCCAAGAACACAATGCACATAAATACAAGTATAAATGAACAAAGGAACAAAGAGTATATACCATTGTCCATCCAAATACACAATAAAACACTTCCAATACACATCAATAAAAGGAATATGAAGTACTCGGTAAAAATGAAATCCAAAGAAGCTAAAAGGAAATAAACAAGAATAACTTCAGATTAAAGTGGTGAAAGAGAACAATTTAAAATAAGGGACAGAATCAGGAAAAGGCCAGAGAAAAAGGTAGGTCTTTAAATTAAATTTGAAGTTCTCAATGGTAGGGCAGGACTTGATGTTAGACGGGAGACTATTCCGAAGCCTGGGGGCAGCAACAGAAAAGGCCCGGTCACCTTTAGTTGTAAGGTGTGAGAAAGAGAGAATTGTTGTGAAGATGACCTGAGCGACCTAGGCGCAGAATATGGAATATCAGCATAGCATATCGGTAATGTATTGTGGAGCTAAGCCATTGAGGGCTTTAAAAACAAATAATAGAATTTTAAAATCAATTCTGTATTTTGCCAGTAACCAATGCAAGACTGGAGTAATGTGTGGTCCTTTCATTGTTTCAGTTAAAAGTCTAGCAGCTTCATTTTGAACGATTTGTAGTCAGGATGGGTCAACCCCATAAACAGGGAATTACGGTAATAAGCGCATGTAAGGTAATCATTAGTAGCATCCTTGAATACCTTGAGGAATGCAACCACTGTTTTCAAAGTGTTTGCATTGATCTGTGCAATTCTTTCACACTGGTTATTGGTTACCAGTAATGTAGAGATCTCCTCGTGCTGTTGCAGTATGGAATCCAGAATATCATAATTTGAATTCCATAGAGTCTCGATGGATTGCTTGAGGGATTTCTTTGAGGTGTTCTGCAGACCTGAATGTTTGAAATATTTGACCAATTTTTTGGCATTGGTCAGCAGTTCAGCCAGTTCGGGTGTCTTTGCCAACACATCTGGGGCAGATGCGCTGTACAGGGTGATGTTCAGGATGTGCGCATTGCAGTTAAGCCTGGTGTACCCACACATGGCAGCAACTATGTTGGCTCCGCGGTCAGTGACAAACACAACACGGCCAACTAGTCAAGTGTCTATTCCAAACCCACTGAGTTTCCGGAACAGCAGGTTCCTGATGTTCTCTCCTGTTTTTGACACACCACCTTCAAAGGGAGCTGCAAACAACACCATCGAAACGTGATAAAACTCATTGTTTGTGTAATGGATGGTGCTGGATATGAATGCCATTTTATGGTAATCCTCCGTCCATATATCTGTTGTGATGGCACATCCATACCTTTCAATGATGGGCTTTATCTCTATGGCCACAGATGCCTGCAGTGCCTTTGCTTTCTCCTCGACATGTCTGGATAGTTGTTGGGTGAGGCAGAGCATCTTTTACATCAATTATGTTGTGTTGAGCTATGTCAACAAAAACTTTTTCCAGCAACAAAGTCATATGGCTCTACAGTCTCTACAGCAAAGTGTGACACATTTCTCAGTAGTATCTTGTTTAACATGAACAGGGAGAAGTGCTTTCTCTTTGAATGAGAGCTTACTTTGGCCCAGAAGAATGGAGCAGGTGTGTCACTGCAACCTGGAGGTGCGAGATTTGTGCCCGTTGTATATTAACACTTTTGCACATTTGTGGCAGCTTAAGTCCAGTTCTTTTTCATTGTTGTCAGTAACAATGGAGAAGTTTGTCCAAATGTCAGACTTGCCTTGCTTTGTTACTGTTTTATATAAGCCCGCTTTAATCTTCTTTTCAACTTGGTTTGTTGGCCCCATCTTCTTAGCTAGCTATATCCCGGGACCCGCAGTATATTTTCTGAACGCCCACTCCCGCCCCCCAGCAGAATTAATACCGCCGCTCCCGCACGATTTGTGTTGTCCCGATCCCAGTGCAGGTCTCTACACTGAAGCCGACGTTGCTCTGTTTGTGACTGAGAGCTGTTGAGCCCCGACGCAATTTCCGCTTTTGTTTCGATTAATTTCAGTCTTGAAGTGAATCCTGGTTTGTTATGTTACTGGTCCTCTTTGTGAAATGGTTAGTAACTTCAGTAACTTACAGACACAGAGCAGCCTGTTATACCAGCTGTGCGTTCAAACCTAGTTATTAGCCAAGTATAAATTAATACTAATTATTAGCATTACTGAAATAAAAACAGTTGCACCATGGAGAGAATTTACAACATAACTCTAACTTACACTCTAACTTACACAAAAAATAAGAGTCAGAAGGAGCTTTATTTCCAAGTAGTGTTTAACACATACGAGGAATTTGTTTTGGTGATAAGGTGCTACACGTAGACAAACATACAGTTGACGTAAATAAATGTAGAAATATACAACTATGGAATAGACAATGTAGGTTATATAAGAATATTAAAAAGTATAGAGAAAAATAATACAACTATTTGCAGAACATGTGCGTTAAGTAATTGTGGTGCAACCCATATTAGTAGCTGATCTAGTTACAGACAAACTAGTAGTTACTTAACCTCTAGTGTGGGCTTTAGGAGATAACTTACACTCAGCCAAAAAAACAAACTTACACACATTCGGGGCAACAGGCTGCTGGTGTGGAATACAGGAAATGGTCAAAAACAAACGTGCTGATTGAAAAAGGCACTTTGTGCATCTGCACTCGATTGCTCTTCCTCAAGGACCTTGACCTGCCTGTGACGTTAAAAGTGAATCTTGTGGATTGAAATTGAATTTAGAGAACTTAATTTGAATTGAGAGAACTGAAAGTGAAAGCACACAAAGACTTGAATTTTAATGAGGCTCAAATACAGTTTCAGTTTAGATTCATATTACATTCAGTTTCAAGTTTATTGGAATTCAGTTTCAAACTAATAAATTCAAATTCAAGTTGAGCAATTCAAATTCAGTTTTTAATGCAATTATTCAAGCTGAAATCATTTTTATGATTTTGATGGTATTGGTGGTGTCACCCACTAGCCGTGCTCATAAATGCAACTCACAGTTATTTTCCAGGAGCCTGTCTGATCCATCTCATATACAAACTGCTGAATGCGAATCCAAAGAGGCTGTACAGGTCAATCTGTGGGATTCTCCAGGCATTTTAACTACTACCCATGCTCTTCATTAAACCGGAATGTGTAACTAAATTAAAGTAAGTTACCATGTGTAAAGCGAAAGCTGTGAAAACCAAGGTTCGACATTTTACTCTCCCCCCTGATAGTAGCATCCCACTCCAGTCCGTCCATTAAACCTTAAATACGTACAGGTCAGTTTTACATCAGTATGTACCATCATATGTTTTATTGTAATTAATGAGACAATCTTTGTTTTCTAAATTGAAATATGCATTTTGCTGAATGCATGAATGAGTCCAGTGACAGAATATTTGTTACACTTGTATTTGAATCTCAAAGTGACTGAAACATAAAAAGAAATTAATACAGTATGAATCATTTCTAAAATATTATACAAATGTAAAAAGAAAAATTCATTAATTACAGTTTACACCTAGTAAGACCATCAGAAATCCTCAAATGTTCCCATTTGGCTCATTAATCTGTCCTGGGGTCATCATCATTTAGTCTAAAAGGAGAAAACATAGGCAATATATTGGATCTGGTGACAGATTTGTTTTGTATCAACATAAAAACAGTTACAATCAAACTGACATATTAAAGTCATACAGTTGAAATATTGTACTGGAGGATTACTTACCTTAATCACAGTAGCCAAGACACCATAGATGACAGAGATGAGGAAAAAAAAGAGGAAAGTGAAAGTCATATACCAGCTTTCCACATCTGTGTCTTGGTTCACATCAGCATGCATAATCTCATCTAAGAAATGACAGCCCTCCAACGTGCCTGTGAAAGAATTTAAATGAGATTTGTCAGTTAACTATTGCACTGACTTTGTTAAAGTGGAATAGGAACTGCAAAGAAATATTAAGAAAATAACCCAAGTTACCAAACAGTCTCACAAATGTGTTAAAATGTGTGGTTAACCTAGTAAGTGCAGTCTTTAACATGCAAGAAAGATGTGGATGAACGGAGGAACCGGCACCTGGTTTAGATATATTCAGGGATTGGGTGGTGTTCTCATGTGTCACCCTGCAGGTGAGGACTGCCCCAGGGAACCAGTTGCCATGGGACAGACGAAGGTGGCTTTGGATGCTGAACTTTCCATTTGGGCCTCTGATGGGTTCACTAGTGTTGTAGTCCAACAGTTCCTTGGTGTTACCAGAAAACCAATGAATGCTAATAGATGCAGGGCTGAAGCCGAAGACCAGGCACACAAGTTCACCAGAGCCCTGGAGCAAGGTGGCTGAAGGTTGGCTGTAGGTCACTGTGGCTGGGGAAAAGAGTTATTAAAGTTCGTCATGAATTTGTACTGAGGAAGGTCATGTAGCAAGAAAAATCATTAAAAATGTTGAACTCAGTTTAGTTAAGTGAGAACAAAGGTAGCAGGTCTGCTCCAATACTTCTCTTTACTTTAATGTTGCTTAAATATTTATCTGATATATTGAAATAACAGCGGTAGCCTTCTAAATTGTTTTTTTTTTCATGAACTACTTGATCCAAATACTAAAGTCACTGCTTCAAAGCTTAAATTATTAGTTTAAATGGAAGAATGGAACTCCTGAAATTGACGTGAAGCGATCTCTTACAGAGAAGAACAGTGCCAGCAAAACCATAACAGAGATAACAGAGCCGTTACAGTTGGAGCTTAGCGAATTTAGCCAACACTCATCAGTGAAACAAAATAATTTGTCCTTCTCAGGATTCGCTCGGGACATCTTAACTATGATGCAATGAACACCAGTGAACCTCATTGTTACTAAGTGTTAATTCTCAGCTCACCAAAAACATCCTTTATAGTGCTTTCAAACGGCGTTTCAGAGGACTCATGCCTGACAACACAAGAATATGTAGACTCCTTGTCCTCAGTTTTGGATGTGTTTAGTCTGCTGCTCATTGAATAAGCGCTGCTCTCTGTGTATTTCCAGGCAGGACTGTTGGTGTAGCGAGCTGAAGGGAGTCTCTGGCCATTCTCCTCCCAGTACACCATGATGTTAGACGGGAAAAATCCAGAAACTAGACAAATAAGTGTGAGGACGTCTGAGGTAGACAGCTCAGAGGCAGTTGGTTGTAATATTTTCACTGCTGGTGGGTACAGGTCTTGAGAAAAACAAAAAGAAGACAAAAGTAAATAAGGGTTTATTTTACAGCTCCTTTCAGTTCATGATTTAGTCACAACCAGCACAAGCATTATGGAGATTTGTCTTTTTACTGCTGAGCTTCTGATGTTTCACACTACCTCTGCTTTTGCTTATATGGTCCTGGTAGCCCTGGTTGGAACATCTGTGCTTCCCCTCACAAGACACTTGTTTGTATGCATGCCAATCCTCCGCTGACACTTTGAGGAAGCTCCGCAAAGACTCCGTCCCATTGCTGTGACTCACTGGTTGCTCCGTGTGGACATTAAGAGAATATTTGTTCCCACCTACTTTCCAGGTGATGGAGAAATCATCAAGAGAAGGGCCAACCAGAAGACAGATGACAGTCACCTGTCCCTTGCTCTGAAGCTCCTGGAGGGGTGGTCCCTGAACATATACGGCAACTATCTGAGATGATGCTGGAGTTACTGAAGACATAGAATGGGGAGAAAATGCAGCACCTATCAAATCATGATTATGAGATAAAAGCTTGACAGATTCAGAAACGTAAAGAAATGTATTTATTCTGCACTTAAAGCATTAACACGATTACTGTTTCCTTTTTACCTGAACAGATGCTGATGTTCTTTTCAACTGTTTTACTCAGAGACTTGTCAGACACTAAACAAGTGAAGACCTTCCCTGTTTTCCACTCTGTCTGAGGGATGTGAAGTTGACTGGTTACTGCCACACGTCCATCTGCACTCATGCTGATGTCATTCGTTGATGGAGATGCTTGCTGAGACTCAGGAAACCATTTAATTTGAGGGTTGAAGCCCCATCCAGAGCACAAAATCCTCTGTGGTCCTGACTCTTTACTGGGGACCTGAAGGAGCTCCACTGATGGGTCCACTAAACATTATGTGAGCAAATGAATAAATCAATGAATCGATCGATCACATTATCAGTTCATTGTTCAAAGAACAGAAAGAGAAACTCCTCTCACCAAAAATATTGCCAGTGGGGTTTGACTTGAAGCTGCTGGAGAAACCTTGATTCACTTTGCAGGTGAAACTTGTGTCTCTCTTCCAGTAGTTTGGAGGGACAGTGAAGCGTCTACTGACTGAATGGAGGCCTGGGGCTTCAGGAAGATCAACATACTGTTTGTCAGAGATGTCAACACTGTTGGCCTGAAAGGTGATGTAGAGGTCACTGGAGGAGAGTTGTGTGACGTCACACTCCAGCACAGCACTGTTTCCCTTCAGCAAATCTGGGAGAGATCTCCTGATCTCCACTGATGGAGCTGTAACTGCAGGCGCTGGATGATACAGAAAGAAAACAAGGAACATTTATTTTAGGTACTTTTCTGTCACAACACACCTGATTTTTATTTTGTCTTCTCCTCTGACCTGCAACATTTATTGTCTCCTCAGTGGATGAGAAGCAGCGATGTTCAACTTTACATTTCAGAAGCTTCAGTTGTTTCCACCGACTAAAGGAAACCGTCAGAGTGCTTATTAAATGAGTTGTATTTGTGACCTGGTTCACTTGGTTACTGGATGGGGGTTGCCCATCCATCAGCCAGGTCACCGTTGCTTCAAACACTGTGCGGACTGAACACGTTGCCTTCACATCAGACGTTGACTCCATTACTGTCTTGAAGCTGGGAACCTCCACATGAACTGAAGGAGGGGCGCTTGAACAAGCTGAAAGTCCAAAATAGAAGTAAAAAGAGTCATGAAGCAAAATCAAATCCTGAGTGAAATACTTTTTGGAAAAATATTGTCTTCCAGATTATAAGACCATGATGATATTATGCTTTAAAACTGCATTATTTAATATTTTCATTTTTTTATATTAAATCAAATTACTATGTAATATGAAAGGAAACTCTTATGAAAACACAAACATTGAGAAGTATCATTCTGCTTCTCTACAGAAAGTTTCAGCTTTTTTTAACTTGTTACTGCAGATTGAGCATCCTGCACATTTAGTGGTTGAGTCTCATCATCTCTGACCAAACATGGTGTATGTTGCCTGTCCAGCACTAAATGGCAGACATTAATATGTTACTGAGTGGCAGAGGAACAGTAGAACATCTAGCAAAAGAATCAGATAAGTGTGATTCTTGTGATGAGTTGTACAAAGACCAGTGAATATTGGATTTACATCCACCAGATGGCCAGAAACACAATTCTAAATAATGTTAATGTGGCTCTGTTTCAGCTCAATACTACAGCAGGCCATTGTTTGCATGTCAGCCTAACAATGCTGTAAGCAGACAGAAGGTGGTGGATGAGCATCTACCAGCTTCTTTGGATTATTCTTCTGCCTCCTAGTTAACATAAATTGATTAGATCAGCTTTATATTCAAATAAAAAAAGTGGCGTGATGGTTGTATAATTCTCATTAGTTATTTGGATGTAATTGTTGCTCTCCTTATGTTTTCATTTTAGCTGAGCAGAGGTTAATTTCCCTCCTGACAGTCTTGTTCAGAGATCTGTCAGACACTTCACAAGCGAAGACTGTATACTATATTATTGTACTCTCCTTTTAGATCTGTTTTGGTCTCTACAAGTTGTGAGGTAAATATATTGGTGTTGAAGTAAAGGCTCTACTGTGTTCACCTGTCACAAAGTTTGTTTGTCTGTAGTTTGGTGCCGGGTAGGTAGTGTTTGGTGGGTTTATCAGAGTTTTTCCCTAAAAACAGTTGGCTGTTGAGAAGAGCAGAGCTGCAGAAAACAAAGCCGTTGAGAGAAAAGAAGCTAAAAGGCTCCATAGACCTGTATAGCAGCAGAGTTGGGTGATAACTCTCTGTGGGTTCGACACCTTTCACATTACACAGTCATTTGATTAATCATTATAATAAATATATTGAACAGCGCAGCTTCAATCAGCTGAATCTGCTTTAAATTAAAAGTGAAAACCTTGTTGGATGGCCATATTATTCTCATTAAACTGCATGTTATTGTTGGTACTGTCATTATGTTTTAATTTTACCTGAACAGATGCTGATGTTCTTTTCAACTGTTTTACTCAGAGACTTGTCAGACACTAAACAAGTGAAGACCTTCCCTGTTTTCCACTCTGTCTGAGGGATGTGAAGTTGACTGGTTACTGCCACACGTCCATCTGCACTCATGCTGATGTCATTCGTTGATGGAGATGCTTGCTGAGACTCAGGAAACCATTTAATTTGAGGGTTGAAGCCCCATCCAGAGCACAAGATCCTCTGTGGTCCTGACTCTTTACTGGGGACCTGAAGGAGCTCCACTGATGGGTCCACTAAACATTATGTGAGCAAATGAATAAATCAATGAATCGATCGATGACATTATCAGTTCATTGTTCAAAGAACAGAAAGAGAAACTCCTCTCACCAAAAATATTGCCAGTGGGGTTTGACTTGAAGTTGCTGGAGAAACCTTGATTCACTTTGCAGGTGAAACTTGTGTCTCTCTTCCAGTAGTTTGGAGGGACAGTGAAGCGTCTACTGACTGAATGGAGGCCTGGGGCTTCAGGAAGATCAACATACTGTTTGTCAGAGATGTCAACACTGTTGGCCTGAAAGGTGATGTAGAGGTCACTGGAGGAGAGTTGTGTGACGTCACACTCCAGCACAGCACTGTTTCCCTTCAGCAAATCTGGAAGAGATCTCCTGATCTCCACTGATGGAGCTGTAACTGCAGGTGCTGGATGATACAGAAAGAAAACAAGGAAGAATTATTTTAGGAACTTTGCTGTCACAACACACCTGATTTTTATTTTGTCTTCTCCTCTGACCTGCAACATTTATTGTCTCCTCAGAGGATGAGAAGCAGCGATGTTCAACTTTACATTTCAGAAGCTTCAGTTGTTTCCACCGACTAAAGGAAACCGTCAGAGTGCTTATTAAATGAGTTGTATTTGTGACCTGGACTTGGTTACTGGACGGGGGTTGCCCATCCATCAGCCAGGTCACGTTGGCATCAAACACTGTGCGGACTGAACACGTTGCCTTCAAATCAGACGTTGACTCCATTACTGTCTTGAAGCTGGGAACCTCCACATGAACTGAAGGAGGGGCGCTTGAACAAGCTGAAAGTCCAAAATAGAAGTAAAAAGAGTCATGAAGCAAAATCAAATCCTGAGTGAAATACTTTTTGGAAAAATATTGTCTTCCAGATTATAAGACCATGATGATATTATGCTTTAAAACTGCATTCTTTAATATTTTCATTTTTTATATTAAATCAAATTACTATGTAATATGAAAGGAAATTCTTATAAAAACACAAACATTGAGAAGTATCATTCTGCTTCTCTACAGAAAGTTTTAGCTTTTTTCAACTTTTTGTTACTGCAGATTGAGCATCCTGCACATTTAGTGGTTGAGTCTCATCATCTCTGACCAAACATGGTGTATGTTGCCTGTCCAGCACTAAATGGCAGACATTAATATGTTACTGAGTGGCAGAGGAACAGTAGAACATCTAGCAAAAGAATCAGATAAGTGTGATTCTTGTGATGAGTTGTACAAAGACCAGTGAATATTGGATTTACATCCACCAGATGGCCAGAAACACAATTCTAAATAATGTTAATGTGGCTCTGTTTCAGCTCAATACTACAGCAGGCCATTGTTTGCATGTCAGCCTAACAATGCTGTAAGCAGACAGAAGGTGGTGGATGAGCATCTACCAGCTTCTTTGGATTATTCTTCTGCCTCCTAGTTAACATAAATTGATTATATCAGCTTTATATTCAAATAAAAAAAGTGGCATGATGGTTGTATAATTCTCATTAGTTATTTGGATGTAATTGTTGCTCTCCTTATGTTTTCATTTTAGCTGAGCAGAGGCTAATTTCCCTCCTGACAGTCTTGTTCAGAGATCTGTCAGACACTTCACAAGCGAAGACTGTATACTATATTATTTTACTCTCCTTTTAGATCTGTTTTGGTCTCTACAAGTTGTGAGGTAAATATATTGGTGTTGAAGTAAAGGCTCTACTGTGTTCACCTGTCACAAAGTTTGTTTGTCTGTAGTTTGGTGCCGGGTAGGTAGTGTTTGGTGGGTTTATCAGAGTTTTTCCCTAAAAACAGTTGGCTGTTGAGAAGAGCAGAGCTGCAGAAAACAAAGCCGTTGAGAGAAAAGAAGCTAAAAGGCTCCATAGACCTGTATAGCAGCAGAGTTGGGTGATAACTCTCTGTGGGTTCGACACCTTTCACATTACACAGTCATTTGATTAATCATTATAATAAATATATTGAACAGCGCAGCTTCAATCAGCTGATTCTGCTTTAAATTAAAAGTGAAAACCTTGTTGGATGGCCATATTATTCTCATGAAACTGCATGTTATTGTTGGTACTGTCATTATGTTTTAATTTTACCTGAACAGATGCTGATGTTCTTTTCAACTGTTTTACTCAGAGATTTGTCAGACACTAAACAAGTGAAGACCTTCCCTGTTTTCCACTCTGTCTGAGGGATGTGAAGTTGACTGGTTACTGCCACACGTCCATCTGCACTCATGCTGATGTCATTCGTTGATGGAGATGCTTGCTGAGACTCAGGAAACCATTTAATTTGAGGGTTGAAGCCCCATCCAGAGCACAAGATCCTCTGTGGTCCTGACTCTTTACTGGGGACCTGAAGGAGCTCCACTGATGGGTCCACTAAACATTATGTGAGCAAATGAATAAATCAATGAATCGATCGATCACATTATCAGTTCATTGTTTAAAGAACAGAAAGAGAAACTCCTCTCACCAAAAATATTGCCAGTGGGGTTTGACTTGAAGCTGCTGGAGAAACCTTGATTCACTTTGCAGGTGAAACTTGTGTCTCTCTTCCAGTAGTTTGGAGGGACAGTGAAGCGTCTACTGACTGAATGGAGGCCTGGGGCTTCAGGAAGATCAACATACTGTTTGTCAGAGATGTCAACACTGTTGGCCTGAAAGGTGATGTAGAGGTCAATGGAGGAGAGTTGTGTGACGTCACACTCCAGCACAGAACTGTTTCCCTTCAGCAAATCTGGGAGAGATCTCCTGATCTCCACTGATGGAGCTGTAACTGCAGGCGCTGGATGATACAGAAAGAAAACAAGGAAGAATTTTTTTAGGCACTTTGCTGTCACAACACACCTGATTTTTATTTTGTCTTCTCCTCTGACCTGCAACATTTATTGTCTCCTCAGTGGATGAGAAGCAGCGATGTTCAACTTTACATTTCAGAAGCTTCAGTTGTTTCCACCGACTAAAGGAAACCGTCAGAGTGCTTATTAAATGAGTTGTATTTGTGACCTGGACTTGGTTACTGGATGGGGGTTGCCCATCCATCAGCCAGGTCACCGTTGCTTCAAACACTGTGCGGACTGAACACGTTGCCTTCAAATCAGACGTTGACTCCATTACTGTCTTGAAGCTGGGAACCTCCACATGAACTGAAGGAGGGGCGCTTGTCTGTGCTGCAGAAAAAAATTTTTGTCCATACATGTTCATCTAATACAATTACTTTTTCAATCACAATATGCTAATTTTTCAATCACAATATGCATTTTTTTTACCAAAGAAATTCATATTGTGACTTGAGACATTAGCCATATATACTTACTTTGACAAATACTTATTGTTTTATGAAATTCACTGCCGTTGTGAGTGGACCAGCATGTAAAATTTGAGCCACCTGTCCACTGTTTCATATTTGGCTCAATCTCACTGCTTAGACTGAAGGTTTTCTCCACTTCCTCCACACTCTGCAGCTTCCTTTGGGTTTGCACAATGTTTAGAGATTGGTTGTCCCGTTGCCACGTCACACTCAGTTGGTCTGGAAAGAAGCCACTTAGGGTGCAGAGGAGTCTGACAGGTGAGGCCCCGATTACACCTTCCCACACAGGGTGTAATGTGATGTTTGGAGAGACAACCCGCAGTTCTGAGATGGAGAAGAGATTATTTTTACTTTACTTGCCTCATTCTAAATGCTGAACATGGAATATTTTGAAAATTTGAGCTGATTTTATCTCTTCACCTATACATACCTTCAGATTTTGTAAACAATTCTAAGTGTAATGTCTTTGTATTTAGGCTAGATGGCAGAGTTGTACTTTTACAGTGTCTGGTGTTATAAAGTCAGGTGGAGATGGAGGCGATGGGGCTGGAAGTCTGTTGCACAGATGCCGCAGAATGACAGGGCAGAGTGATCACAGCTAGCAGCAAGCGGAAGCATTGAGTAACACCCAGATCCAAAAAAGTACCAAAATACTGAAGTGAAACAGAGCCAAGAGCAACGGTGCATTGCAGACACCAGGTGTGAGGTGCGCTTATGCCAGTAAGAGAAACAGAGTGCACATTTAAATATCTCAGATCAGTTTACATGTGTTATCACAACTATTTTACATGGCTTCTCATGACTTTGCTAAAGGTTTTAGTTCTAAGTCTATTAATAATAGACTCAGAACTAACCGATTGTGAAATCTCCACATTTACATATTGAGTAGAACACGGGCTGTTGATTCCAGGTGCTGGGGAGGTGATGAACACAACAACATATTACATAGTTAAAATAAAAATAAGAAATGGTATTGTTATGAGCATTATGTATCAAACATTTATAAGTGAAACTATAGACAGTATGAACAATTTCAGAATAACAGATGAGAGAACAAAGATGGAGGAGCAACATTAATGGTTATGTTCATTAAAACATTTATTTTCAAAATTACATAAAGCTCTTGTAATAAGAATGGAAAAATGGACAGCTGTGATTACTTACAGCAAACTATGAGTTTATAAGAAAAAAAGTGTGAAAAACAGTTTTGTACAGAAAGTTCTCCTTGTTTCATTTAACCTGAAAAAAAACAGAAGAAAACAAATACAGATTAGTAATGTTGCTCCAACATGATCAAATTCCTGCTATTTGTCACCACTTACATGTGTGGTGAAATTACAGATGCACTATAAGACCACTGTATGCACATTACAGTTAAAACATTGACGCATTATAAAACATCATAATACACACATGAATGTTTGTAAGGAAGTTATTCACAGTTTAAGAAAAAGATTTACTACTGGAACCTAAATATTTCTTTTGGATTTCAAAGGTGTTGTGAGTTTTCTCTTTTGAAGACATCAACTTTACTGTTATTACATATTTGTCAAGTGAGGCATTGAACCGTGCATGCATTTTGTCATGATTTGTAAAATAAATGTATCAACATATGGCACAACGAGAATGTCACACCTGGCTTCTGTTGTAGTTTACTGTACTACTTAAATAAATTCATTCAGTTTAATTAACTTTGTTTTGGATTTGTATTGAACACACGATAACAGAAACACCTGCAGAATAAAATTTGATTAACTATAATAGCTCTGAAATAATCACTGAAGGAAAAATGTGAAAACACAGAACTCAAAAGAGTTTAATGTTTAAAAGCATTGAATTGCACAACGGTTGTTGTTTTTGTGTCCAACCCCCGGACACCCATACATCACTGATGGTTGATCTTTTGCTGCAATCACTTTTAGAATTTAATCTTTAGATGGAGATAGTGGCGCTGTGGGATCATTTTGGTTGTTGGTCAGAGCGGTAAATACATCAGCAGACAACAAGATGTAATTTTCTGAGGTAGTTATGATGTGATTACATTATGATGGTTATTATCATGTGTCACAGCTATGCCCTGTATGAATCTATTGTTACTCCACTCCTCATGTTAGATTTTTGTCAACCCATCTGTGTTGTTTGAATACATAAAACTTTTTTCTCAGTTGTGTTTTTCTGGTTAATATGTGCTCAACTCTGACATGTAAACTCAGTATTACCTTGAAAGCAGTGGTTGCAATGGTGAACATCAGAGTGATGATGAAGAGAAGGATGAAGGTGAGGGCTATTCTCCCCATGTCATCTTCTGCCTCGATGGTACTGTTCCACTGGTAGTCCATTTTAATCATGAACTCCGGATGTCCTGGACTTGGGAAAATCCACTCCTGGCTAACTGTGATGAGACCAAATTCTATTAATGACCAAATTCTTTGATTTCCTATAGCAGGTTAATATATTTTAAAACCTCACAGGTCTGTGGATTTAATCAGTAAATCAATCAGTTAGTCAGTCAATCATGTATGAAATAGATAACCATAAATTAAAAAAGGCATTATGTCTTAGTGACATGTCTTGTTACTTATAACATTGTTACCACAAGGCACTAACAGTTTTGCAAGTGCTGATTAAAGTGGTCCTAGATTGATCCTGACTTGCTTTTGAAAGGCCCCATTATTGGTGTGGCATGCCTGACTTGGCGTGTGAATCAGTTTTTTCATCATTTGACTGAGAGACTGCAGAGCTGGAGTTCAACCTTAAACAATCATCTGTCTTGTATTGAGGGTGCAAGACCCAGTAGAGGACAACACATACACAAAGACACACAAACAGTGTTAATGCACTACAAATAAAAATGAACACATTTTATTTTTGCCTCAGTTTAGTGGAGTGGTGGCAGCGTTATTCTAGTGAATACAATATGATGCTGAAGGTTTGATATATTATTAATGTCACTGTGCTGGATCTAACCTGTGCTGCATTAGGTGTGACATTACACTTACAATAAACATGTAGCTCAAAACATTGCTCCAATAAAGACATGAAATGCGACATACATCAACAGAGTTGCAAAGGGCATTTTTTTATTTTTTATTTTGCATTAAGAAGACAAACAAAATGTCATATCACAAGCAACAAACATTAAACAACAAACAACAGAAGACACAACGACACAAAACAACATCTACTAGGCCTTGCACGTTTCAGGGATGTTCATGTTGAGGTTGACCAGGTTGGTTTTTTCAAATGTTCTCTGCCCGATGGACCTGACAATAGCTTTAGTTGTGTTAACCAGAGACTCGTGGTAAACTACACAGCTATACACCACGTCATTCTTTTTCCACTGCTCAAGGCTGAGTGATAACTGGCCATAAGCAGAATAAGATCCATTGTTTTCTACAGGGTTTGTGGTATAGAACTTGTACTTTGAGTCTGCTTCCTCGTCATCAACAAGCCAAGACACCAAAACCTCTTGAGGATAGAAGTCTTTCACATAGCAAGTCAGGGTCACCATTTCTTTTCTAGTATGTTCTACTGGAGGCAGCATGAACACTGAAGGACGCTGAGTCTGTCCTCCTGCAAGCACGAGAGAACAATTAGGCCTCCTGCCACAGATAAAAGAACCTGCAGTACTGAAGGAAACCTCTGCTACAAAACACACAGTACCAATACACAAAACAACACACTTAGAAATAACACTCTTAACCTGTTTGATGTAGTGCACAATTGCTGAATAGTTTTCTTACCATTTCTCCTTTGATAGAGTTGCTTTACTGGGTCAATCACCTCTGTGTGTTCAACAATGCAGACGCGTTTCACCCCCTTGCTCCATTCATCATAAGAGATTTCAAGTGGCAGGGTGAATGGGCCTACACTTCCTTTAGGGGGGGTCATTGAGGCATCAGCCATTTCCTTTCCGTTGTGGTCCTCCCAGAATATCTTTTCGACAGATGGCTTGTTTGCCGTGACATGACATTCTAAAGTTCCTTTTCTATTTGAAAAGATGTCTTCCAATTTGGGGCCAGTGATCTTTATATCCACTTGACCTTCGCATTGTTCAGGTGCTGAGTGAGGAATTAATTAACAATTATTAAGCAGAAAGGGCTGCAAAAGTTTGAGAATAGAAATTAGATTTACATATAATTTTTAAAGAAAACATAACAATTACTCACGAGTTGTATCTCTGTAGGTCAGGGATGAATTCACAAATGTGTTTTGACCTTCACATTTCCCCTCAAACACACATGTGAACTTACTGTCCTCAGTCCACTCACTGGGTGGTACTGCAAGAAAACTTGCTGCACTGTACACCTTAGTTCCGTTCTCATAGTTTCTATCCCAAGAAGGTGTTTTGATCTTGTATATTTTGTTGGGGATATCCTCTTCATTTTTCAGCCATTTGAACTCATAATCATTTGGTGAAAAATCTTTGGCCAAGCAGGAGAAGGTAACCTCGTTTTCCTTCTCAGAGGAGGCCAACACTAGAGTTGGCAATTTACAAATCACCACTGAAAAACAAAGATATACACAAATATATGTATGCAGAAGCAGGGAATAATATATATATGCAGAAGAAGAGGTGACCAAAGTGCTCCAATGTTCATGTAATCTATATTTACTATAAACTTAACTGACTTTTCTGTTCTACTGTATGTTATGCAACTTGCACACACATATGCACACATGATTACGCTCTTTAAATTAACACTTACTGTTTGTTACTAAAGTGTGCATAAAGAGTCAAAAGGAAAATAAAAATGTCAAAGTAAAACAAGTGAACAGCAGAGGTTTTATCACTTCTGCATATACATTGACTGGTCGGGCAAGCAAACACAGGCTTAACGTGAATGTTAATGATCAACACACAGTTTCCATCTATCTGCATAATTATGCAGACAGAGGGAAAAAAGCAGAACACATTGCAATAATCTGTTCTTGGACAGGTGCAGAGGACATACAGCATAATAGTAAAGAACAAATCAGACTCAGAGTCAGCAGCTGAATATACACAACAAAGCTTTAGCCTTTTCGTTCCACCTCACTGTCTGGTTTGACAGCTGGACCTACTAATTAAACATATTTAAGGATGTTAATGTTAAATTGGTTGTATTTTATTTTTATGCTGTCCGCTGTGTTTATGTTACTTAATCACAGATTGGAGTATTTTGTTTCTAAAATGTTGAAACAAATTACCGCTCTCACGTTAACTTTACACGTGTCAACATCAGCAGCTTGGGATAAATGTACAAAGATGTTATAACGTCTGCCTCTAATAAACATTTCACAGGAAAACCCTAAAACCAAGTAACAGAGATTCACTTTTTGTGTAAACCATAGCACAAATGTATTATCAGTGCATGTATTGCACTACATAAATATACTTATTATTATTAGATGTTAAATCAACAACTAAAAATGCATTTTATTTGACTTAGCATGAGTCTTACGTGGTCGTGTAACATCAGCCTCTGCATTTCCTGCTGGATGTGTCACGGCACATTTGAAAGTCTGCCTTGCGTCCCAGTCCTGTCTCCTCACTCGGATTTGACTGACTCCCGTATAAACGTTCCCTTTCTGTACTGGAGGGTACTGAATGAAGTCCGTCAAGGCAGCCCCATTTTTGCTCCATGTGTAGGTCAGTGAGGAGGGTGTGAAGCCGGTGGCAAGGCAGCCGAGAGTGACCAAGTCTCCAGTCCCAGAACCACATTGCATCAGGGGAAACACAGTTGGTGCAGTTGGATTGGCTAACAGAGAAAAAACAAACATGCAAGAACCAAAATAAAATTTAACATAAAAGACATTTTTCAGCAAGTCAGGTAAGTTGATCAACAGTGTAACAAAGCACAGCATGGAAGGCATTATCTTTTAATCTGCTGAATGTGTAAATCAAATCAATCAGGCTTTGAACCTTACTGACCCTCCCTCTAAAAGTTATTTATCAGTGTTACAACAAAACCAAAGTCGTATAAGTTATGTTATACTGTTAACATGTTTAATCGGTTATTAAATACATCCTGGATATAAAGAAAAATAAACTAAAATGTAATCACGGTTAAAATTATAACAAAATGTGTAAAAATATATAATTATAAAAAGGTAATAGTTAACAAAACAATTTACTTTTAAAACAAAATATACTAACTAGTGTTCAATCAAATGCCCTCCATACACAGAAGTTTATGTTTCTCTGTCTCACTTATTTAGATGTCATTAGTTGCACTAAGGTTAACCTCCCTCAATAATATAATTTGTGGTGGCTTTATGTTATTTTATATATAAATACTTCAATTACTTTAAACTGCAACTTTGACAATAATGATTAGACATTTTCTAAATTCAAACAATGAAGGTTAAAGTCAGTAAACATCCAGTAACTGAGTCTCTTACTTTTGTTGAAATTTACGAATTTAAAGAGGTTAAAGAGTATTCTTACCTGATGAAACAGTTACTGTTGTACCCTTTCCCCAGTAGTCAAAAGCATCATAGTAGCACAGTGCTGAATCTACGTAGCTGTTAGTATTAAAAGGCTACGTCTACTAATGTTGAGTGCAATGATGAGTTTGTTTTTTTGTTAAATTCGACTGTTATAAAATCCACTTAAAATAAACTATCCATTAATATTCACCATTGCGTCCTACTGAGATTTTCGCTCTTTCACTCTTTACAGTACATGCTCGCCTAAACAAATTTACTTTTGAAGCCACACTTGACATGCTGAGAAGTTACAGAATAACTTAAACATGACATTTCAGTCTGAAACATACCCTGCTGTAGATTTGAAATGGTAAATCTTACCTGATGACACTGTTACCATAGTGCCTTTTCCCCAGTAGTCAAAAGCACCCCAGTTGCCACAGTTAAGAGAGTCAATTCACACTTCTCACAAAAACTTCTAACTGTAATATCCCATTACTTCATGCCACACAGTTTGGTTTCAGCAACAGGTCAAATCAAAGTAAAATAATAAAAATATAAATAAAATACTTTGACGATAGAACAGCCAGGAATTTTAAACTTTTCACAAAGTCTTTGTCAGGCTACAAAATACTGTTGGCTGTGACCACAGAAAATCATAATATATTTTAGTAATATAATTAGGATTACCGTCTCTAATCAGAAATATTTAAACATACCTGAGGTGACAGTGACCATAGTGCCTTTTCCCCAGTAGTCAAAAGCCCAGTTGCCACAGTTAAGAAAGTCAATTCACACTTCTCACAAAAACTCATTACTGGTATATCCCAAAGTTTGGTTTCAGTTTAAAAAACTGTTAAAATTAAATATAAAATTAAATGTTTTGTTGATAGACTTACTATCCAGCTGAACTTAACAGGACTTTTAAACTTTTCACAAATTCTTTGTCTGGCTATATAATACCGTTGGCTTATCTTATTATTGGCCATCAGTTGTGACCACATGAAAGTGATAATATATATTTTAGTAATATGATTAAGAATTTCACTCTGTAATCAGAAATATTAAAATAATATACCTGAGGTGACGGTCACCATCGTTCCTTTTCCCCAGTAGTCAAAAGCGTAGTCACAGTTCAACAAATTATTAAACACTGCATTCAGAAACCTGTTCCCAGATATCTACACTTCCATGGACGATTATTTTATGACAATCTACCTTCTGACATCTTTAACTTGCCATTTTCCACACATGGATTCAGTAGATGGAACCAAATTTTAGATTCTACCGATTATAACATATTTAACAAACATTGTCCCACAAATAAATGAATTGTGTGGCATCACAACCGCATTTCTTAATTCTAAAACTTTCTTTAAATCAAAGTATACATCAGTAAAAAAACAGCTGACTTACCTGAAGTAACTGTAACCATTGTGCCTTTTCCCCAGTAATCAAAAGCATTGTCACAGTACAGTGTGTCAACACATCCAACATACAAAAACAAGCATCTTAAAGATGCTGTTGATGCCACTGAGGTCTAAATATACTTTATTAAACTGTGTAATTACTACATTTTCAATATGAAGACAAATATAAGCTTTTTTTACCTGTTGTGACAGTCACCATTGTTCCTTTCCCCCAGTAGTCAAAGTAGTCGTCACAGTTCAACAAATTATTAACCACTGCACACAAAAACCTGTTCCCAGATCTCTACGCTTTCCATGGTAGTTTATTTTATGACAATCTACCGTCAGTTAAAGTTTCAGAAGATTGAGCCAAACATGATTTTCATCACCATATTTTAGATTAAGATATTTTAAATACAGTATCCTAGAAATTAAAGAACTGTATAGTGTCACTACTGCATTACTTAAAAATACTAAAACTGTTTTTAAGGTATACATTAGAGTAAAAAAAGAGGATTGACTTACCTGCTGTAACTGTAACCATTGTGCCTTTTCCCCAGTAATCAAAAGCAGCGTCACAGTGTAATATGTCAACACATCCAACATACAAAAACAATCACCCTAAAGATACCGTTGATGCCACTGAGGTCTAAATATAATTTATTAAACTGTATAATTACTACATTTTCAATATGAAGATAATTTACCTGTTGTGACGGTCACCATTGTTCCTTTTCCCCAGTAGTCAAAGTAGTGGTCACAGTGACAGGTTTCAACAGCACTTCAGTGCAAAAATACTTAATAATTTGTATCATTTAATAAAGTGTTCTCAGTTACTCAGAAAACTACAGTGTACACCTATCATTTACCCTGGTACTTTTGCTGTAGATTAAATTAGTTATTTGCCCCATAAACCAACATAAATTTAACAAAAAACAAGAAAAATATTGAATTGTCTTCACTCAAAAAACATGATTATTACTCACCAGAAGTTACAGTGACTTGTGTCCCTTTGCCCCAGTAGTCAAAGTAGCCATCACAGTGATATATTACAATCTGCTTCTAATACAAAAAACTGCTGTTTGAACCAAGAGAAACATACATGTTTCACTGACAAATGGCAATCCCCACTGTATTATTTATGAACCACGTCCATTGAGATTTCCATTTCCTGTGGTCTGGATTACATAAAGTTAAGTGTGTTTGCTAACGGTTAGTGAACACTTCCTCCTTATAGACCCTCCTGTCAGTTCCAGTTCCTGCTGCATAGAGTTCACATAACCAGATAGACATTTATCTGTTGAGCTTGATAAAAGTTAATGATAGTTAGCTCTGTTTCCCTGAAGTCCACATTTACACTATTTAGAATAAAAAGGTAGAAATATTAATTCTTTGTATATGTCGATCTATCAAAGCCACTGAATTCAGCCACACTGTCCATCCCAGAGGTGTCTAGTGTTTTAGCCTGTATATTTTAGTGCTGAACATTTCACATATTTTAGGATGGATTTCCTAGGCATTTCCTAGGCAATTAACAGACAGGTGTTTAATTTCAAATCTGCAAATTTTATTTTATAGAGTAAAAAACAAGATTTAAAAATGTAAAGATACAGAAACATTCATGGGAAGACATATACTTAGAAAATGTTTGAGAGAAAAGTAATTTGAGTCAATATCATAGTACAATTTTGCTGTTTACATTTAGTTAATTTATAATAAATTACATTTCTATTATGTACATAATTAAAATTTTGACAAGTACAACTTGCAAAACTGAGGTTATGCTACAATACCACATTCATAATGACTGCAGTCAACGTTCTGTTCAATCCAAACCAATAACCTACAAGCAACTAGTAATATCCTGGGCTCACGTCTAAAGTTTTACAGTTGTATGACAGCAGAAACAGAAATCCTTAACAAGTATTCTGTTCAAGTATCAACTTACTTAGCTCACTGTATCTGTACTGATGAACAAAAAATTTAGGTGCTTAATGATGAATTACACGATACATGATTATAAATTGTCTATTCAACTTCATCAATCAGCTAAATCAAAAAGAAACTGAGTAAAATGGAATAATAATAATAATAATAATAATTCCAATGTTTTAAAAGAAAAGCAACAATAATTTTTCATTCCCTAAACCATAGAAAAACTGACTTTGTAAACTTATGTATCTGGTCTGGCACGCTGTCACTGCACACCTGGCTCTCATCAGCCTGTACTGCCCATAGTGTCCCCTTTACTGACATTAACCTCTTTTAGGTAACACAGGCAGATGTTTAAAAACGATGGCATCCATCCAACGAAGGTTGAGGTCAAGGGCAATTGGACTTGGTTGAAGATACTACAAGAAGTTTCGTCCCACATCCAAGAGACTTCTTGAGTTCTGACTGACTGGGAGGGAAACTCAGTTAGTCAACCTCTGTGGGATTGTTAGCTAGGATCATCGATACCGCTGGTTCGTTAGTGCTCCTGGCTGTGGTAACAGCAGTCGTCATGGTCATTATGGCCAAGTCTGAACGACCATCGTTGGCATCTTCACCTGAGGCCAAGAGGAAATGCTTGTTCAGTTTCCTGGGAAGTGATGAAAGGACAGCATTGTAAGTGGTGGATAAGTGGAGGCGTAGACCCTCTCCTCTGTTCAGTTACTGCTTCTAAATCTGTGTGTAAATGGCTTCCCTAATACCTCTTTCAAACCATCCATCTTCTCTGTCTAAAATGTGCACCTGGTTTCCTTTATCCTTCAGATGTAAATAAACTACTGAGTCTTGACCTGAGGAGTTAGCCCTTCTGTTGTAGTAGGGTTGTATTACTTGAGACTGGTCTTGGTCTCAAGACCGGTCTTAAAACCACTTTTTGATGGCCTTGGGCTTGTCTCGGACTTGACCGTATTTGTACTCGGTCTTGTCTCGGTCATTGAGGACTCAGGATTTTATTTCAAGACCAGTCAAGGCCATACCTTTTGGAATATCAATAAATTGCTTTTGCATCATCTGATTTATTTATTAACATCCTAACTCTGATTGGACTGAAACGTAATGTTTCAAATGCAACCAATAACCCTAATTAAAATGTGTTGTTACCATTAACTGTTACTCCTCCCGGCAATTGCAATGCTTATGTTGATTTCATCTCTTAGTGTTTGTATGTGGAATGTGGATCTTTCAGATCAATTTGAGAAGTACCTAAGATCTCGTTCCACATTTTATTGTGTGTCATGTAATGTGGGGAACTGGTCTTGGTCTTGACTTGGTCTCGCCCTCCCTAGGTCTTGGTCTCGACTTGGTCTCAGCGCCTAAAAGTCTTGGTCTTGGCTCGGTCTCAATAAACTCTGGATTGGTCTTGACTTGGTCTCGGTTTGGGCGGTCTTGACTACAACACTAATACTAACAGACACAAACAAGACCAGCTCTCTCTCCTGCTGACAGCCACTTAAGAAAAAAATGTACACAGAGCAGCGGATACAAGTCAGGTCGCCATGGTAGCGATCTGTCAATCACATAGTATCCCCCCCCCCAAAAGCAGACCCAGAGGTTTGACAACCACTCGTCATGTTAGTACAACTCTGGATTGGACAACGGTGAAAAACAAACTGCAGGATGTTGAGTAGTTAAACTGTCCTGACATTACTTTTTACTGGCCATCGGGCCACCATTATTGTCGAGCACTGGTTTCTCTGATACTCCAGACACATATGGAATCACAATGTTGTTGCGTTTGACCTTCTTCTCCTCATCCCCAGTAGTTTTGGTCTTCTTCCTGGCTTTTGTGGCTGTTTTCACAAAGGTCCATTTAGGGTATCCACAGGCTGTAAGTGCCCCTTTCAGGGGGTTCTGTTCCTTCTCTCCGGCTTTTGCACTTGTTGGTATGTCGTCCACTCTGCGGTGCAGGGTTCTGATGACCCCTGGCTTGTGTTCCAGTGCGTGGTGGGAATCAAAAAGTAAGTATTGATCATGTGTGTGTGTGGGTTTCCTGTACACTCCAATTTGCTGCAATCTCCTCGTGTGAACTTGATGTTACTGTCCTCGGAGTTGATGTGTTCT